CCTTTTTTTTTTGTTGTTGGTGCGTTGAGTTTATATTGGATCGGTCATTGCTAAACGTCCCTGTGAACTCCCCTCAAATAAACAAAAAGAAATCGTGTATATGATAGTTGAGCTCTTTGTCCTTGCACACAAAAGGGATTAGTTCGATTCTCGAGCTGGGGCGTCACTTATCATCATGTACACCACCTGTCTAACTGCTGGCTGGGGCTTTGTGTCCCACTCGGCCCGGGATGGCTGGCCGTGACAGTCTGTGTCGAAGCCCCGAAGCTGCCCGCCTCCCAAATTATCTAATTCAGTTGTCTCAATGGGAGTGTAAAACACTTGCAGTCAGATCAGCAATTATCAAGACTGTGTCTTTCTGGTGGGAGGTTGGCGGATGCTCTCGTGTGCTTTGTTCCTTCTTTCCTACCAAACATCTTTCGTCCTCTCCCCTCTTTCTTTTCTTTATGTTACGCTCTTGTTACACCCATTTAATATTCGGCACTGGTATGACCTTGCATATGTCGTTGGGGGATAGTTGTCAGACACGGCTGGTAGGTCCTTCTTCTTTTCTGTCCCTATCTTTTGTTTGTCGATCTGTCCTGCTTCTCTCCCAACTCTTTATGACCGTTATTGTGTCGATGTTCTTTTCTCTACTCAAACTCAAACTCAAACGACGTAAAATTCGGACTAAAGACTAATACCGAGTACACACTGTCGGTTGATTCCACTTGAATGAGTCGGGGGTAGCCAGATGTTTACCTATGGAGGGGCAAAACCTATCATTTTGGCACAATTTGATCAAATTTGACTAAATTCGATTACAACCTAGACGACCACCCATTGTAGAGGAGAAAAGTGGTTATCTCAGACAGGTGGTCCTCTTGGACACTGTCATTATAAAGTAGAGAAAACTCAAAGGGACAAGTGGGAAGTGGTCGTTTGTACAGGATTGTCTTGGACCGATGCTCGTTATAGGCAGGGTTGACTGTATTCCCCTCCTTAATACCCCCCCCCACACACACACACACTTTCCCCTTAGCCAGGACCGGCAAAACGCCACATTCCCTGCATTGTGTCCCGGGCCGCCCTGGGCTAGCTCCCCGCAAGATCTCTCCCACAGAAACGTCCTTGTTTTAGTTCTTTAGTATAAGAGTAAGAGTTTCAAGGCACCTACAGCACAACTAGCTTATATAAGTGCCGAAGATCACAGGTGTTACAAGAGAGTAAGATACCCAGAAAAGAAAGAAGATAGCTGATAAGTACGACGGATGTTTGATAAGAAAGAAGGAGCAAACGACAATAGAGCACCCGCTAACCGCCGGCACAGAAATGTCCTTGTTTTAGTTTTAGTATAAGAGTTTCAAGGCACTTGCAACACAAATGAGTCATGAAGTGACGAAGATTAGAGTATTAGAGGTGTTACAGGAGAGTAAGATACCCAGAAAAGAAAGAAGAGAGCTAAGAAGGACGACGGATGTTTGATAAGAAAGAAGGAGCAAATGACAAAAGAGCACCCGCTAACCGCCCGCACAGAAATGTCCTTGTTTTAGTTTCAGTTTTAGAGTTTCAAGGCACTTGCAACACAAATAGTTCTTATAAGTACCGACGATTAGAGGTGTTAGAGGTGAGTAAGATACCAAGAAAGTGGGTGGTTGGCGGGTGCTCTGGTGTGGTTTGCTCCTTCTTCCCTATCAAACATCTAGCGTCCTTATCTCTCCTTCTTTGTCGTGTATGTTACTCTCTTGTAACACATCTATTCTTCGGAAATTATATGACCTTACTGTGTTGCAAGTGTTGTAAAGCACTCATTAAAAGTAAGATACCAAGAAAAGAAGAAGGAGAGATAAGGACAGCAGATGTTTGATAAGAAAGAAGTAGAGTAGCGAATGACATAAGAGCACCCGCCAACCGCCCGCGCAGAAATGTCGTCCATAAAGCATGTCCGGTATACGTGGTGGCTCTCTGGCTAACCTAGGCCTAATCTATTGGGCAATCAATTGCTCGGGACAGGCAATCTACCCTGGTACTGGTAGTTCCGTGTACGGGAGACCCCCTGTGTTTTGGGGGGGTGGGGGGTGGGGGGTTATCAAAGTGAAATAGTTAATTTTATCAGATCTGAATATATCAGAATTCTACTCCTGTTGCAAAGCTAAACAACTAAACTTCAAAAACAGTTAAGCATCAACACTGAAACCACCATACAATTAGGTTTTTTTAAAGCCTGGCCGGAAACAATTAGGGACATTTATGCCTCTGTAAATAGATTTGTTAAAGCTAGGTTAAGAATCAGGAACTTTTATACTTTTAACAATAATAATAATTTAAAAAATAGCATTTGTATAGCGCATAACCCCGCTCCACAGCAAGCTGTATGTGCTTTACACTATAATATTATTACCCCATCAAATCATATACCACTGAGAAACATTCTGAGCTTCCCGAGAAGCATACAATGCAAGCAGCTGATTAAGCGCTAAAACACTAACAAACTGACAAGACATACATAAATCAATAAATTCTATAAATAAGTATTTAAATTGTTAAAGTAAGTGGGACTTTGATACATCAATGAATAAATCTAATTGATAAGGTTACGTTTGAGGGACTTTAATACGTCTATAAATAAGTCACATATACATCTATAAATAAGTAATTGAAGGAAAACATAAATATGAAAGGCTGTTATACCTCAATAAATAAATGATTGATTGTTAAGGTCAAATAAGATTGGCTTTGATATGTCTATGAATAAAACACTTAGATACATCTATAAATGAATCATTGATGGATAAGTTATGTACGAAGGACTTTGATACCTCTATGAATAAATAATAGACTTACTCATTTGTTGCCAGTAGACGTTTGCCCCCGGAGACACTGTGTAGGTCGCGTTCATTGCGTTAGGACATTGACCAGGGTACTGGGTGCCTACCACAGTGCTGGGGTCACTAAGGCTCAGGACCTGGAGAAATAAACATTTTGGTAGGCAAACATTATGAAATGTCATCGTACAAGAGAGTGACAACATGGGCTTGAGCCCAAACATCAAGGAAACCGAAACAATTGTGATAAGCAGAAAAACTCCAACCCAACATGCAATATCAAAATCAATGATACCACCCTCAAGCAAGTACAACATTTTAAATATCTGGGGATCATAATATCATCAGATGGGAGATGTCACACCGAAATTAAAAGCCGCATTTGCCAAGCAAAAGCACCCTTCTACAAAATGAAACAGATACTCAAAAAACATTAATCTGTCACTGGAAACAAGGAAAAGAATATTGAAAAGTTACATCGAGCCAATCCTATTATACGGGTGCGAAGCATGGACAATCAATAGACAGCTGGAAAGAGCAATTGAGGCAACAGAGTGGTGGTTCATAAGACGCATGCTGCGTATCCCATGGACAGCTAGAAAAAAAAATGAAGAAGTTTTGGTTGAAGCAAATTGCAGACGACAGCATATGACGAATACATGTATACGAAAGCGACAGGCTAATTTCATTGGACACACAATGCGGAAAGAAGCATTGGAGAATATTGTAACAACAGGTAAGTTTGATGGAACGAGAGGCAGAAGCAGACAGGGAAAAGATACTGGACAAGTTGACAACATGGCTCGGAGCAGCAAGAACAACAGACACCATTCCTGCAACGCAAGACAGAAGTGGAGTGAAGTGGAGGTCCATGATCGCCCACGCCAGTCGGCAAGGCACCGGATGATGATGATGATGAGGCAAACATTGTCCTCTTCTCAGCCCAAAAACTCATATTTTCCCCCTTTTTTACGTTTTTCGTATTTTAAATATATGTGTAAAAAAGGGTAACGCAGTTTGTGAAACTAGATCTAGATTCTTAATCCATTTTTCAATATTTAATATACAATTAATTATAACTAATTTGAAGAAAGACTGATTCTTTATAACTTCGTTACAGTATCAACCCAATGTCACGTACAGACTCTCGAAATTATTGTTTTTTAGCTGAATTTCTCTGATTTTAACAAGTCGTTGCTTGAACGGAACGAGTGTTATAGCCTACTATTGTTTAATATTACCCGAAATGTATGAATTGTCAAATTCATATGTGAGGCATTGTGGTGAGACCAGGCGCTCGTCAAAATAATGAAATCAAAGAAACTGGCATTTTTTCTGGCCGTTGGGCAATTCCTTTACCTTCTTTGTTTTTGGCTCAACAGCTTTATGTCCAATTAAAAACACATTTCTGTGTGAATTTCACTTAAAAACGTTGATAAAAGGCACACACGATTACATTTCGGTTTCTAAGGACTCTCATGCTATGGAAGTCACCAACATTTGGCGCAATTTACTCGCTAACTTTACCTCTGAAACCTCCTTCTGTCGAAAATATCTCGGCTTCTATTCAAGTAAGATGGATATTTTTCCCACCAAAAGCAAGACAAATGAACAAGCTTCAAGATGACACCAATAACTCCATGTGTCCAAAAATCATCGAGTGCCTGATTCCACCGCATTGAGACACATGTAGCTAATGTTACCTCATCACTAGGTTTTCTGGACATATAAACTTACAAACCGGGGGCTCTCGTGCCTAGGGGGTTAAGGTGTTCACCTCTCATTCAATAGGTCCCGGGATCGAATCCGGATAGCGACGGAAATTTTTCTTCTCAAACATTGTCTCCTTTCACCTCCTTTCCTGCTCTAGCAATGTTCTGTCGTCTGCTTTCGTCTCCACTTTCTGCCCCCACCCCCTCACCTCCTTTGCCCCCCTCTTCTGGGCTCCTGAATTTTTCTGCAGCCTTTCTACTGCTACTCCTTGGCCCTTTTTTACTGCTGTCTTTCAGCCACACCCCTGATCTTATGGTAGGAAAGATCTACACCTAGCCTTCTCGGACAAAGGCGAAAAATCTCCAAGGTCCTTGTGCAAGTTACACACGTTAAAGATCCATTGGTGGTCCAAAATCGTTAAGAGTTGGCTTCGGCCGCCACCCGGGCAAAATTCAAATTTCCTACCAACTGAAAATGTTTAATGTGTCCCGCGCTTATATGACCTTAATATGTAGTTGCAAGCGACGTAAAACATTTACAACCCCCCTCCAAAAAAAACCCCAACAAAAAACAAAAAAACCCTAACAAACCTAAGAAGGTCGTTGTTCTTTTAGAATATTTTTTAAAATTCTGTTTTTCTTTTTCCATTTCCGTTTTGTATTTTTTCTCTTAGATTTCTGTTTTTAAGGCGAAAATGCCAAAGAAGCAGAAACAAAGGTCTCAGCCGAGTAGGCTATCTTTATAATCGTAAACTCCGTAGAAGCGCTCTCCCTCACTCATCTTACATACTTACTCCATCCCTGTCCCCCTCCCTCCGCTCCCCATTCCTCCCCCCATCCCCCTTTTACCTACCGCACCATCAATCTCCACCCTCTCCTCCCCTCACTCCTATCCTACTCAACCCCCCCCCCCTTACCGCCCCATCCCCACAAAAACACCCTTTATCCTAGCTACATCAGTAAATGCGTCTAACAATATCTGATCATCTAGCGAGCCGAGTGCTATATATTTTACTTACTGCAACTTCCGAAATTTGGAAATTTTTGTCACAGCTGTCAAAGCCATTTAAAAATCTTTCCCTTGAGCTGAAAATTAGTACGGTAAAGAGAAAGAGAGAGAGAGAGAGAGAGAGAGAGAGAGAGAGAGAGAGAGAGAGAGAGACGTGCCCCATAGAACTTTAGTTTCAGTTTGCATGAACTCCCTTTCCCCGACTGGAATTCAGTTGTTCCAAAGCGATATACACCCCACATCCCCCACATCGAAAAGATTGAGTTAATGCAAGGTGTAACACAAAGCTCGAGATATTCCGCCATTTCGCTACTTCAGAATAACAATGTTCTATCTGCTCAGTACCTAGTTTTGATATCACAGACTTTGAGTTTCACTTCATGTCCAGCTTTTTCGAATGCAATTCTTCGAATATTTTGATAACGACTCCGAATTATCTTATGAGCAGATAGGACATTTGGTTTTTGATCTCGTGGTCTCAGAAACTCAAAACAGCCAAAAGTGTCAGATATGACTATTTTGTAGTCATTTTTTTAGAATAAGAAGGTCTAGGAAGCATTTATATTAAAAGGAAAAAATTTCCAATGATAGCGTTAGAAGAAGATGTATACGGCATATCTAACATAGAACATCTGGTTGACGTACGAGACAAGTAGTCCTGTAGGTTTTGCTGTTGTCCACGGTCCCATCGTTGTAGACAGTCATGTAGATCAAATCGTTGCCGTTGTCTTCTATGGCGAACAAGCAGTTGACCGAACCAGCGTCTGAGGAGAGAGGGATGATCACCAATAGAACAGTGTAAGTGTGTGGGTTTAATGCCTCTATCAACACTACTGTGCGTAAGCTGACGAAACGCCTTAAAAAACAAAAAACTAATTGCAGTTTCGAGGTAAAGAGTTTCTTTTTGTCAGCGAAACCATTAAAGAAACAGCGTTCTTCCGAAATTTGAATTTTAAAATATTTTTAAAATTGTCACATTTTCACTTTGATTTTGTTACATAAGTAGGTCTAGATAAGTAGAGTAGATCAGGCTTTAAATTTAGCAAATTAGAAAAATGGCGCCAAAATGAAAAAAGACGTTTTGTCACCTTATGGCATAGGACCTTCAAATTTAACGTACGTCCCAGAAAGGACCAAGCCAAATGGGTTGAGAGACTTGAAAACTACACAAAACGACCCGAGTTCAAGACCACCTAGTGTTTATTCGAACAAGTGCCACCCGTTCCGTAGTCAGGCATGATACTATCTGATCTAATGGAACGCCCAAATCACCAAGTGAGAGTTGTGGCATTCTCTGTTTCTGAGAGGATAGAGGGAGGGAGAGATGAAAGGAGAGAGAGAGGGAGAAAGAGAGAGGGAGAGAGAGAGGGAGAGAGAGAGAAAGAGAGAGAGAGCGAGAGAGAGGGAGAGAGAGAGGGGGAGAGAGAGAGGGGGAGAGAGAGAGGGAGAGAGAGAAGGAGAGAGAGAGAGAGAGAGAGAGAGTTGATGTGTGTCTGTGCATGTGTGTATGTGCCTTGCCACAGCAAATTTCTCTTTGTGGAGCTCAGTGAAATTTTATCTTATCTTATCTTATCATATCTTATCGTATCTCATCGTATCTCATCGTATCTCATCTTATCTTATCTTCCTATCTTATCTTATCTTGTTCTTCCAGTAGCCTTACCTGAGTAGGAAAAGTATGTGGTACAGTCGGATCCATTGAAAGCAAAGGCCGATGTGTTACTGCAAATGTCAAGGTTGTTCATGCTGGCAGCGCAAGTGTTCCCCCCGCCAGGGTCGTGCACAGAGTAGTTGTAGTGTGCGCTGAGCGGTGTGGGGCACGGCGAGATCGCGTCCGTGAGGGTACCTGGAGGGACAAAGGGGGTGATAAGAAACCAATATTTTTGTAGTTCAGATCTGTTTTCGATTTTTATTGGTTGTTTCCCTTGTATTGTACACGGGCTTCCTTTGTGATAAAGATAGAATTTTGTTGTCTATGTGATAGACTCACTTTGGATCATTCCGTGGTTGAAGTATTCCTGTTGCAAGTCAGAAAGGCAGAAAAAACACAGACCTAGACTGAAGAGATAAAAATGTAGGACTTAGACGTAGGGTAAAGGAGGCAGGGAGTTGGGAAAATGGGTGGGGGGAGAAAGAGGTAGAGTGGTTGGCTTTTGGATGCTCTTATAAAAACCTATATTATTAGTACGATTATCCTTATTGTGTTTCCATGTCACCCATCTGTTCAGGTCTTCCAAACGAGTTCCTCTGAGTTCACGCCTGTTTCGTTTGTCTTCTGCTTTTTGTGACTGCTAGATCTAGATGTTCAAAGCCTGTATGTCGACTCAAGTGTCCCAGAAACTGCAGTTTCATCCCCTGATTGTTCACATTTGTGAACGGCTCGGTGAGCTTCTTGCAGTTCTTAGGTGATTTCTTTTTCATACATGATGTTCTCAAAAGTCTAATAAAAACCACATTTTGTTACCTTAAAATAGATGCATAGATAGACAGACACAAAAATTGATATAATAGATAGATAGACAGATAGATAGATAGATAGATAGATAGATAGATAGATAGATAGATAGATAGATAGATGGATGGATAGATAGATAGATAGATATAAGTAAATGACTGACCTTCCCGAAACAAGACTCTGTAGGTCCCGAGACCCACATCTGTGTTAGCACAGATGTCGTCGTAGATTCTCAAGAACGCTGGAAGCAACACCTTCACTCTCTCGTTGCCTGCGCTATTGAGCTCGTCTGAGGAGGAGGAGAGGGTATAGTAACATCACCACAGTAATAGATAGCATTTGCATAGTGCAAATTCCCGCCCAACAACAAGCTATTTGTGTCACGACGCGATGGAATCAGGCGCTCGTCAGTTTCTTGGCATATGGAGTTATTGGTAACATCTTAAAGCTTGTTCATTTGTCTTGCATTTGGTGAACAAAATACCCATCTATCTTGAATAGAAGTTGAGATATTTGCACTTGAAGGAGGTTGGGTAGCCTGGTTTCAGAAGTAAAATTAGCGAGAAAATGATGGCCAAAGTTCGGTCACTTCCACATCTTGAGAATTCTTAGAAACTGAACATTTCATTTTTTGTGCCTTTAATCGACGTTTTCAGTGATTTCCAAAAATTAATATCTTTTTAAATGGACTTAAAAGGTGTCGAGCCAAAAGAAAAAAAACAACAATAAAAATTCGACAAGAATTGTCAAACAGTTTCTTCGATTTCATTATTTTGACGAGCGCCTAATTTCACCACGATGCCTCATATAAATAATAAGTGCTTTGACCTCTATATTATCATCCCATCAGACCTGATATTATTCTGAAACAATCTCGATTTTCAGGGAAGAATACAGCGCAAGCTGCCATTTTATAGGCGTTAGAACACTAACATACTGACAGGATCTTTCGCTGTCTTTGGCCGGGTACCCATTCCTATCCTTGAGGAAATTTGTGTTAAGTACCTTTCCAAAGGACACAACATCGGGCCTGGGTTCGAACCCCGAACCCGCAACCTCACGATTACGAGTCAGTTAGCCTAACCACTGTACTACAGACGCTACAACATTCGTTCGCATCATCATCATCAGAGTAGGAGGGAGGGTTTAGTTTGAATTTCAGACAAAATAACATAACAATATAAAACGTTTAAATTTGTTTAATAGACACAGCTCAACGTTTCCCTTCTTGGGCTTCCTCAGGAGCAATTGAGAAAAAAACTAAATGGGCGCTGTATACTAGCTGGGAAATGGGCCTAACAAAGAGGGTCTTAAGATAACGTGTGGTTACAGGCTAGACGGAAGTGACTCAGAGCGACCCAGGCCAAGGAGCTAATGATAAATAAATTGACGCTAGTCTAGCAATATCATCATCATCATTATCATCATCATCATCATCATCATCATATGTCGACAGCCAATTTTTAAATTGGAAGAAAACTGAAAATAGACGAGATTATAAGACAGATACATTATAGTCAGATAAATAGACATTATAGTCAGATAAATAGACAGATACAAAGAGACAGATAGATAGATAGACAGGGAGACAGAAAGAGAGAGAGACAGAAAGACATATAGGATAGATAGATAGAAAGATAGATAGATAGATAGATGGAGAGAGAGAGAGGGGGGAAGAGAGACAGAGAAACAGAAAGAGAAAGACAGAAAGACACATAGTAGGAGGGGAAAAGTGATCGAATTACTTTTAATACTCACTTGCATATTCGTAATAATAGAACAGGTCATCTGTGACCTTTGTGAAGTTCCAGCAGAAGTAGGCGGTGAAATTCAAGCTGAAGAATTCAAACTCGGAGGATCTGTTGGGGAAAAAAGCTTACTTCATAATAATAACTGGAAGTTTGGATGTATAATAGTACTTAAAAGTTTTGATGCAATTCTCCTCCTCCTCTTTTTTGTTTTCTAATTCAGCTCCTTTACCTCCTTTCCTTCGCCTCCTGCTCGATTTCACTTTCTTCTT